ATGCATTTTACCATGCCCAACACCACCAAACACTATGTTCATCGAGTGGGTCGAACAGCAAGAGCAGGCAGGGCTGGTCGTTCAGTTTCACTTGTGGGTGAGGAAGAGCGCAAGATGCTGAAGGATATTGTGAAGACTGCCAAAACACCAGTGAAAGCCAGAATTCTCCCCCAAGGTACACGCTTCACTGAGGTAAAAAGCAGGAGAGCAGTAGGCAGGGAATATCATAGTACAGAGAGACACTAAAAGAGGTGCTGAAAAATAAGATGAACTTTACATGAGCTGCTTCTGATGTTCACACTGTATCATTTTCAGATGTCATATTAAAATTTCGAGAGAAGATTGAGAATCTAGAAAAAGATGTGTATGAAGTTCTGTGCTTGGAGCGTGAGGAACGTGAGATGCAGCAGTCAGAGGCCCAGGTAAGGGTTTTTTTTTTTAGGAAATTATTTTTTTTACCTTAGTTTTTTTAGGATGTGGAGTAGCTATACTGCCGAAGGAGGTTACCCTAACGTGCTTAACCTGCCTACTTTAGAAACAGAAGAGAGAGACCTTTTCTTAGCCACCATGAGCTCACTTCTTGCCTGAATTATCTCAGATCAATAGGGCAAAGAAGCAGCTGGAGACAGGAAAACAAGGGACTGTGGGTGAGGGTTTGGAGCGGTGCTGGTTCCAGACCCGTGAAGAGAGGAAGAAAGAGAAATGTGAGTCATGACACTGCTGCCATGTTAAATTCTATAGCTGTAACTGGACTCTGCTCTGTACTTTTACAACTTTCTTTATTCTGTGTTTTTCTTTGTCTCTCCAGTGGCTAAAGCCCTGCAGGAGTTTGACCTAGCACTACGAGGCAAAAAGAAAAGGAAGAAATTTATGCAGGATAGACAGAAAAAAGTCCAAATGACAGTGAGTACATTTATGGACAAGTGGGACCCTGGGAAGACTATCCTAGTTTTCCCTTAGCAAAACCTCACATCACTGTAAACTTGCATTTTAACACCTTTCAGCCAGAGGAGAGGTCACAGTTTGAAATCTTGAAATCTCAAATGTATGCTGAGCGGCTGGCAAAAAGGAATCGCCGAGCAAAGCGCGCCAGAGTGTTGCCAGAGGAGGAATCAGCAGCAGCACTAACAGGTGGAGGCTTTTGTTTTACACCTGACTTACTTACATCAGTCACTTTGTTACAAGTAGGTAAACTAAACAAATTTGTTTAGAGGGAGGCACTGATCTTTGAAGGAATGGCCACTGGTGCTGGCCAGGATGCTTGTTTGCAGAGAGGAGTCCTTGCTTTTCCTGATTTTTAGGCTAATTGTTGTGGTTAAGGCTACTGGGCTCTAGTAAAAAAGATGATGCTGTGCCCTTCTGTTTACAGCCAATGTTCTGACTATTGTCTCTGTGTTAGGCCCCAAGTGGAAGAAAAAACTCTCTGTGTTCGATGAAGAGCTTACCAACACAAGCAGGAAGGCTCTGAAGCAGTACCGTGCCGGGTAATGTCTTAACTGTAGTACAGAAGTCCAGACTTTAGTAGGTGGGATTTTTGTTTTTGCATATTTGGACTTTCTCAGGGGTACTTTGACTGATATTGGGGGGAAAAGGTGGGCAGAGCAGAGAAGGGATTCTTGCAAGAAGTACTTGTGCTGTTGGTGTACGTCAGTGGGTTTTGTCTTTACCTTCTTCCACTCCCCTCTCTCTTAAAAAGCCCATCATTTGAAGATCGAAAACACTTGGGTATGGCTCAGCATAGGAAAGGAGGAAACTTCAAATCCAAGTCCAGGTATAAGTCTGTTTACTTTCTTATTCAAGGGTTTTTTTGTTGTGGTGTTGGTTTTTTTTTTTCTGCTTTCTCTTTCCTCTTCTGATTGTTTAAAGGCCCTTGCTAAAATGTTTGTTGGTTCTGCAGTAGCTTACCGTCCTACTACAGGTCTGATGCTGGGGGCAATTAAGGATACTGCCTTTAGTAGCACATTCCTAGGTTTCTACTTGGGAGAGCATTGCCTAGAAAATGCTTAGTGCTGTTCCTTATCTATCATTGAGAGTTGGGCTGCTGGAATGTTATTTCAAATATCTTCTCTTTCAGGTACAAGAGAAAGTAAGAACCGTTGGTAATTACCAAATGGTAATTTGGACAGTGCAGACATTTCAGACACACTGTCTCCAGGGCCTGGATTTCTTTGTACAGCAGGGAGACAACTTCACTAAACTGGAGTAGTTTTTTTTCAAGTTCTGGAATAGCTTTTGGGATGTTCATTAATATCTGGTGGAAGACCCTGTGGAAAAACATCTTCAGCAGCCCATGCAATAAAGGATTGGTTTGTTTTTTTGCCTAAAATGTTTGTTGTTTTATAGGATAGCTAGAGCAACAGAGAGCCTGGCTGTGTTACATCTTTCTGTCAGACTTTTAGTTCATGAAAGTTGTCTTTAGGGCAAAAACTGGAGAACATTTATTGCTTTATTCATATACTTCTGTGATCTCAATTAATATGGCTGAAAAGAATTTTTGTGGTTGAGAGCCTATTTCTACAATAGGGGAAAAAAGTTTTTCAGACTAGTTGTCACAAAGATGGTTTTGGGGAGAAGTCACAGGAATTAACAAATCTCCAAGAGGCTACTATCTGAACAAAGGCTTATGTCCAAGGGATAACTGAAAAGCAGCTGTAAGCTGAGGCAAGAAGGGAAGACTACAGTCAGAATATACAGGCTGTTCATTGTTGTATTCAATTAGTAGCTTTTTTTTTTTAGTAGAAGCAATACAGCTCCAGCTATAACCATCGAACAGGTTTACTGCAGGTTCATAAGCAGCAGCTGAATGCAGAGCATCAGCAATCACTATTCCTGATATGGGCACCATTGTACTTGTTCCACTGTGAATAAAGCAGGGACAATTCTGATCAGTAACCCATACTTAATTTCATCAAAATGTTAAACTCCTTTCAATTTTTCCATCTCCACCATCCCATCTTTTTCTCATCAGATTCCTGTAAGGAACACAGAACAATATAAGTGGCCCAGACCCAACTGTTAACTTCTGAGCTGTCAATACACATTGAGCTTTTTGCTTCAGACCTGCTCTTCTAGGGTGACCAAAGCGCAGTAGTGAAAGGTAACAGCTGCACTCCTAAAATAGACCAGTACAACAGTGACTCAAAAGTACTGGGTTTTCCAACTTTATTAAAAAGGGCAAACTTTACAAGAAGTAAAGAGAAAATGTACATAACAGAGTTTTGACAGGTGGTACTGCTCAGTATATTCCCTGAATCGGTCTTCTCACAGTTCAAAGGTACATTATAGTGTCCTATGGCCTTGGTGGACGCATGCCAGGTGGAGGGGGTCCTGGGAATAAAGGAAAGAGTTGAATATTGAAGAGGAAAGAGGAAGCAAGTCTAAACCAGAAAGAAGTTATTGCTATGGTAAAAGTGGCCTTGGGATCCCTTTTTTGGCACTGAGGCATCTACTGACAACTAGCATAGCTAGGCAGGCATTGAAATCGTCTTTCAAACATTTTATGTTATTGCTTATAGCTTCTAGGCATTTAAGGTAACCTCCACTCACCTCTCATTCCTGGGGGTGGTGGTCTCATGCCTGGTGGGGGCATTCCCATAGGAGCACCTCGGCCAGGTGGCATTCCCATTGGTGGGCCCATAGGTGGTCTCATGCCTGGGGGAGGTCCCATCATTCCTTAAGCCAGAGAAAGAACAAGCATGTGAAGTACAGCTGAATAGCCAAGGCACTAGTTGGCTATCAGAATAATCCTCCATAATACCAGATCTTCATCAGACTCTGATAAATACCTCTTTACCATCAATTTTGCCACTAACATGACCTCCTTGCTGCCTCACTCTATAGAGTAATTCCTACCTGGAGGAGGTGCTCCTCTGCTCATGGGTGGGGGAGGACCCCCACGCCCTGGTGTGTACTGAGTTGGAGCTCCTGCTATACTAGCAGTGGCTGGGGCAGCTGCAGCTGCAACTGTTCCACGACCCTGCGGTGTCATGACCTGTAAACAGAATAAATAGGTTCACAGAGAAACAGCACATCTGCTTCACATTAATAACTAAAAAATAAGATTTAAATTATCCCTTCAGAAAACTACACCAGTCTCCTCTTAACACATTAAATAACGCTACAAACTTGTAACACAATTCAATGATTACCAATTGAATTCTGTGCAAGAAGCTGCACTTTTCAAGCCTCTTCTTCAATCATGTAAGACAGAGTTCCTAGGGGGATCTAGTACCAAAAAAGCCTTGCTAGGCTCAAACTCCCTGGTAACAGAAACTAAGATTACAGTTTTTCCACTCAACCAATTTCTTGCATCACATTGGTACCGAGAATTGAAAGCCACCCCAGAATATACCAGACAACTCTTTTTTTAATGGGTCACAGCATCTCACCTGTTGGGATGGTCCTCCCACTCCTCTGACAGGGCCAGCTAATCCTGCTGGAGCCTGTGGCATGGGTGCACCAGCTGGTACTCCCCTCCCTGCTGCTCTTCCAACTCCAGGTCCTCCAGCAGCTCCAGCAAGAGGTACCCGGGCAATTCCAGTCTGAAAACAGACACCCAACAAAAGAAAGATTTATCAAAACAAAAGTCCTCAAATCCTAGCAATGCCCACAGCCCCCTTTTGTCCACTTAATGTCCAAGCCCCCAAAGGGATTAGAACTTCCTGCAGTGAAATTCATCAGACCTAGTACAGCAGCATCGGGAAGTCTAGGACAATGCTGTAGTAGCATTCTCCTGCAAGGAAGCAAGTTTATCAGATGCCCCTTCCCTTTCTCCTTAGTTCTATGCTCATTCTCCTTACATCTTTCGGAGGTGGCCCTTCAACTGTCATGGACACCAGGTTTTCTCCTCGCAGCAACACAAGACCAAGGACTCGTTTCTCTTCCCGTTCTGGCTGTTTTGAGTTTTTAGGTCTAGTGAGAAGAGAAAGAAAACATTGCAAGGCAGGGGGACAAAAAACAAACAAACAAAAAAAATCAACGCTTCTCTTTGAATTTGCAATAGAATATATGACTAGGTTACTCTAGAGAGGATAACCTACCATAAAAACCACTTTTTAATGCACCTAAGCTAAGTACATAGAGAAGTCTAAGTACAAGATGCGTATTGTCTTTGTGATTTTTTCCTCATGATGCCTAACTGTTACAGTGACTACGCTAGCATCAGATAAAGCTATATTTTGGTTCTTAGGAAAGACTGAAACAAAGTGCCCCCTGAACCTTTGGTAGCTTGTGGATTTGACACATGAAACTAAAGCCATGACTGCTTCTGCAGAACCCGGCGGCAGACGTCGCCTAGCAGCTGCACCTGCGCAGAGGATGAGGTTCATGTGCTTATCGAAGGCCTTGAAGGTGCCGATGAAGACGCGCCCGTCCTGCAGGATGCACCGCATGCGGTAGTCGATGTGCTGCAGCATCTTGCTGCTCTTTCCCACCGTCTGCAAGAGACCGCGTTACACCGAACGCCGGGGCGAGGCGGAGCGGGCCTCACTACACCTAGGCCGCGTGGGCCCCCTGGCCG